AAACAATTTATAGAATAAAATTAGAATCATTGCATATATTTATTGATTAATTAGTTTAAGTCTTATATTAGAAATTTTTTTTGAAAAAAATATTACAATGTTTTTTTTTTGTTTAAAACAGATATCCGCGAAGATCCGGATATCTGCAAATATCCGGAAAAAAATTTGGATATCCGTCATTCCGGATATCCGAAATTTTTCGAAGAAAAGCAAATCGGAAAATTAGATATCCGTCAAAAACAAATCGAACTACAAATACAGTATTTTCTTCGGATATTCGATCTGCGCTCAGGGTTAAGAATAGTTATCTTCTTTTTTTCATAGCTAGAATCATTATCTACATTATTTCTTTCGTGTTATTATTTTAAAAGTCATCCGATATTGAATCGGTTATCTACTATATAAAAGCACAAGGACTCTCTCCAGCTCTTGACACGTAAGCATGAAGGAGATGCCACGTGTACAATTAAATATTTTAACGATCGAACCTTTCATCTTCCTATTAGCCTTCATTCAATAGTTTCCAAGAGATCTAAAACCAGTGCAATTGAAATCTTTACCTTTCCGTCTTCTTTGCCTTTTTATGCTAAAAATTATTCTCTCGATTGGAAAGGAAGAACAAAGGAGTTGCAGCAAATCCCATCTTAAAGCTTTCTTCTCGTTTCTGCTAGGAAATCGGCTTAATCACAATCTCTTTCCAACATGTGGGAATTTGCCTTAGATGTCATTGTTGCACTGTAAGTTTGTTTCTCTCGTTTTAGAATTTCTAGGAAGAGATCTTCCAATTTTCAATTCTGTTTGTTTATCCGACAAAATTATAACTTTTAAAAACTCTAATTTACGTATGATCATCAGAGACAACCTAGAAATGATACGATGGTTTGTAAACTTCGATTTTCCTTCAAGTATCCGAGATTAATTATTGTTGTTATGATGTATAAACGTATGATGTTCGATGCATACGTTCATCCAAAAGCTTAGATATTACTGGTTGAAAAAGGATTTGTGTACTCTCAACAAATTTTGAGCGTGACTTAATTCACAAACTTGCAATCTCTTTGCGGATTTTTTTTCCACTTCTACTATTTTCGGTTGCAATTTTGATCGACACTTCTGTGGATTCTCATTCTTTGCATATCCATTGAATACCATTTTCCTTCATTCTTTGCATTTTTTCCCTATGTTTAGTCGATGATAGTTAGTGGTACTTCAACTCTACTTCACTCTAGCAAAAAAAAGATATTGGAGACCACATTTTTTCAATATAAAGAAGAAAAAGCAGATCTGGCTGAGAAAACATTTCAAAACCAATTAATTAGCATATGTTTATATAGGAAACACCTTTAAAATAGAAGAAAAAAAAAATAATCATATTAACCAAAAAAACAATAAATTACATATTCAATCAAAGTAAGAAGAAATATATCAAATTATTTGTAAATAAATGGCACATATCAATAACAAAACATATAAAACTATTCATAAATACTACAATTTAGCAAAATCTTATACGATAAAAACTCGCGCGTATGCATGGATAATCACCTAGTATATCTAATGGCAGTTGTTTCGTTGATATTTTGATTAATAATCAAAGTATATATTTACTAGAATGAATAATTAATTAAACATAATAAACAGACAGATATAAAACAAGCATCTGATGGTGATATATATATGGTATACAAAAATGTGATTAAGAAATAGTTAAGCCAGATAATCAAACTTAATAATTTATGCAAAAACACAGAAGGAGAGAATATTCTTCCAACGGCAAAGGTTATAAAAGGCAATTCTCTCCAATCATTAAAATACACGTCAGCAGCTTTGTAAAACTTCACACTCTTATTGGTTTAGCTGTAACGCGTTACGCGCTATTTCATCATTAATGAATATATGTCACCGCTTCCATTATTTATCATTAGTGAATGTAAACTTTAGTATGAGCACTTTTATGATGCTAACTTTGCATTTTACCTTTGTTGCTTATTTTAAAGAAGAAAATAAAACTCACATGGCTAATGTTTAGTTTTTACTATTGCTAATCGTATAGCCGTAAAACATTGGGTACAAAAAAAAAATATTAATATAGAAGTGGATAATAAATAGTGGAATATGGAGTCACGTGAAAGGAGTTTTGGGGGAATTAAAACCGAATTTATATAAATGAATTGAATAAATATCCGTACGGTGCAGTCGTACAGGATAACCTACCCACTTCCACCATCTCTTACGTGTCATACCGTACAAACCAACTTGACTTTTCTTTGCGAATTTAATTATTTATTGATTGGAAATTAAATTAAACGATAGAGAAATGTGGGACCTGTTCTCCACTATTCACAATTGCCCGTTACATGCCGTTTCTCTCTCTTCTCCTCTCGTTTTTTTTTTTGGAATTTTGTTTTTTGGAGTGTTTTCTTATATTTTGCGTGAATTGTCGGCTAAATTATCTGATAAATAAACCATTGAATACTCTTTGGAAACAAAATATGAAAACCATCGTGTACTCTTTAGTTTCTTTAGTCATCACATTTGGTTCTTGACTCTTGAATGGTAATTTTTATTGGCAATAGATTGGTAGAAGTTTGGTTGAAATGTGAGAAAATTTCATCAATACTTCAATTGATAAATTTCACATATTTTTATTGCTGGTTTTGGTTTCATTATTTGCCTATGACATTCTTCGATTAAGTTAAATGGCTTTGTTTTTTGTTCATAAATAAACTATATAATTTCAGTTTGTAAAAAATTCAAGTATAATGACACCAAAAAAAAACGATAAGCTTTCAGTTACAACCATTTATTTCAAGATTCTTTGGAAAATATTGTCGTTGAAAGACAAGGACTTACAAACACCTTTTGAAAACTCCAAGAAGACGATACTGTAAAATACAAGTTGAATGCAACTGTGGAGCGTGCATCGCATTTACAGACATGGAAATTTCTAACATATATAGTAATATACTTGTCTTTAAGTTTAAGTAGTTGTAGAAATCAGATAATCTTATTCATTATAAGGTGGACCAAAAACACCAAAGCAACATAATCAAACCGAAATTAAATACTCAAACCTAACTTAAAATTTTTTTTTTTTTTATAAACCGTTAGAGTTCCAAACCTTTGGTTCATTATCTCTTCGATAGCAGTCTTTGGATATTCTGATTTAAAGAATAATCCTCCATACTTAAGTTAAAACCATCAATTTGAATTCCTACCGAATATATAATAATCCGAATACTTAAATTCA